AGTAAGTTATAATGCCAAAACAATGCAAAAATTAAAGCCAGAGCACTATTGGGGGGGGGAGAGAATGGAGGCACCTCATTCCCATGTTTGACAATATATTATCAGGCTGGTATGTTAAGACATTCAATAACATGGTTCACTCTAGACAAAGTGACTAGATTGGAGGAACAGGATCTATTCACACCATAAATATATCCTTTGGTATTAGACCACAGGAGATGTTAGGGCATGGGGTATTTATAAATGTAAATTAAGCCTTGGTGTCTCACCTTGCACAGCAATTTATTATAACAAAGAATTGGAAGAAAAGCAGTTCTTGGGGAACATACAAATCTGGAAAGCCCAAAGTCTGAGATCAGAAATTTACTGGGGAACGGTCTAATTAGAACGGTCTAATAAGGAGTTACCGGTAGATTGTTACTGAAACAATCCCCTTCTTTCAGCACCTACAAATTCTACATTTAGACAGCCCTATTGTTCTTTTCAGTGGCTTGGTTGAGCAACAATGTTAAAAGGTGGCTCAGGGAATAAAACTGAATGCTATAACCCTAAGGAAATGCCATCAACACACAGTCTTACCACCCCCTTGCTAAGATTTTGTTGGTGTTAATGGTGATGTTTAAAGCAGTGTTTCCCAACCGGTGTTCCGCGGCACACTAGTGTGCCGCGAGACGTTGCCTAGTGTGCCGCGGGAAAAATTGGCGGGGGGGGGGGAATAAAGGGGGAAAAAAATTATTCCCCCACCGCCAGGCGTGGGGCTGGGGCGGGGGAAGCCCAAGCTTCCCCCTCCCCCAGAACGGGACCCAGAGCCATGCCGAAGCTGCGCGCAGCTTTGGCATCGCTCTGGGAGCTTGCGGGGCTGGGGGAGGAGGAAGCCCTCCGCCAGCCTCCAAACCATGTCGGGAGACAGCGGGATGGCGCGCTGCGCCTCTCCCGCTGTCCCCCGAGTTTGCAGGGCTGGCGATGGGGAGGAGCAGGCTTCTCCCCCCGCCAGCCTTCCAGCCAAGTCGGGGGGCAGCGGCAAGGGCGCGCTGCGCCTCTCCCGCTGTCCCCCGAGTTTGCAGGGCTGGCGATGGGGAGGAGCAGGCTTCTCCCCCCGCCAGCCTTCCAGCCAAGTCGGGGGGCAGCGGCAAGGGCGCGCTGCGTTTCTCCGCTGTCCCGGACGGCTTTCAAAAGCCTGCCTTCAAAAGCCGTCCGGGACAGCGGAGAAACGCGCTGCCTTTCTCCGCTCTCCCGGGAAGGCAGGCAGGGGGGAGCAAAGACTTTCGCCCCCGCCCACCTTCAGAAGAGGTCCAGGACCTCTTCTGAAGGCGGGCGGGGGGCGAAAATCTTTGTCCCCCCTGCCTGCCTTCCCAGGGGCTTTTAAATCGCCCCGGACAGCGGAGAAGTCCTCCGCTGTCCCGGGCGATTTTAAAATGCCGCCCGCCAGCATTTTAAGATTGCCCCGGACAGCGGAGAAGTCCTCCGCTGTCCCGGGGTTTTTTAAAATGCTGTGGGTGGGAAGAAAAGCCCTTGTCCCCCCCCCCAGCCTTCAGAAGAGGTCGGGGGACAGACTGTCCCCGGACCTGGTCTGAAGGCGGTTTCCCTAGGAACGCATTAATTGATTTTCAATGCATTCCTATGGGAAACTGTGCATCGCAAGACGAAAAACTCGCAAGACGAAGAGACTTGCGGAACGAATTAATTTCGTCTTGCGAGGCACCACTGTATCCGGAGAGGCGGCCTTCAGGCGAGTTTTAATTTTAATTTTCCTTCTCCCACTTAATGCCCCACGCTCGCCCGAGCAGCTTGCAGTCCTCGGTAACCACGGCGACCCGAGGGAGGGGAGGGAACAGGGAAGTCGAGGGCGGCGGCGAGCCGCGATGACGTCAGTGGGCCGCGCCGCCTCGCCCTGGCACGGTGTGAGAGCCCCGGCTAGTGGCGTGAGCTTCAGAATAAGTGGGATCCGCGTGCGCGAGACCGAGATCGCGGGTAAGGAGCTCAGCCCTGGGCAGGAGGAAGCGGGGCCGCGCGTGCGGGCCACATCCCCACAGAGAGCGAGCCTCCCCCGGCCCACCACTCCGGGCAGGTCCACTCGCATGAGGGGGCGGCGATGGCGACGGCCGGCAGCTTGCCTGCAATGCCATCCCTCGAGCAGGCGAGGAGCCCGGAGGCTACCAGATGCGAGTCCTCTTTCCCACCCTGCTCGGGAGTCCAGAGCACTTGGTCGCATTCAGGATCTAGAGTGGGGAAGCGGGGCTTGTGTCTGGGCTGGACACATTGGGCTGCCTGTGCCGCTCGACCTGCGGGGAGAAATCAGGGTGGGAGTCACGACCGTGAGGCAGGGCTGCCAAGTGTGGCAGAAGAGGACACGGCCGTCGCACCTGTCCTTAGGTAGGAGCTTCTTCCGTGTCGTCCTGCTGCCCTAAAGTCTTGGCTTTTTTCTTGGCTTTTTGGCGGTTGGCACAGAAGGAAGGCAAGGGGGAGGGGAAAAAATTGAAACTTACACTTTCGTGCGTCCCTCCCGGCGTGACGCTGCGCGCTGACGTCACGGGGCTGTAATGGTGGTGTGCCTCGAGATTTTTTTCATGAAACAAGTGTGCCTTTGCCCAAAAAAGGTTGGGAAACACTGGTTTAAAGTCATAGCGTCCAATCTTATTTAAGCACCCTGGCAAATATTTTAAACGAATGACTTGGTTTTTGTGTATGTCAGATTGGAAGTAAAAATTGTCCTCAGGGCCAGCCCCAGACGTAGATCCCAACCCAGAAGCACTTGCAGAAGAGGAGTGTGTCATGCCTGTCCCTCTCCAGCGCATGCCTGCCACGCTGCCCCCTGAGGACCCCAGCTCAGCAGCCCTAGCAGAGCCACCGTCTCGCCTGCTCCATCAACAGCAATGCCTGGGAAAGCAGGTGGGCTCCTTCCACAAAGGCGGAGCTAGTTAGAATCATAGAATCATAGAGTTGGAAGAGACCACAAGGGCCATCGAGTCCAACCCCCTGCCAAGCAGGAAACACCATCAGAGCACTCCTGACATATGGTTGTCAAGCCTCTGCTTAAAGACCTCCAAAAAAGGAGACTCCACCACACTCCTTGGCAGCAAATTCCACTGTCGAACAGCTCTTACTGTCAGGAAGTTCTTCCGAATGCTTAGGTGGAATCTTCTTTCTTGTAGTTTGGATCCATTGCTCTGTGTCCGCTTCTCTGGAGCAGCAGAAAACAACCTTTCTCCCTCCTCTATGTGACATCCTTTTATATATTTGAACATGGCTATCATATCACCCCTTAACCTCCTCTTCTCCAGGCTAAACATGCCCAGCTCCTTTAGCCGTTCCTCATAAGGCATCGTTTCCAGGCCTTTGACCATTTTGGTTGCCCTCCTCTGGACACGTTCCAGTTTGTCAGTGTCCTTCTTGAATTGTGGTGCCCAGAACTGGTGTAGTGGTTAAGAGCGGTAGTCACGTAATCTGGGTAACCGGGTTCGCGTCTCCGCTCCTCCACATGCAGCTGCTGGGTGACCTTGGGCCAGTCACATTTCTTTGAAGTCTCTCAGCCCCACTCACCTCACAGAGTGTTTGTTGTGGGGGAGGAAGGGAAAGGAGATTGTGAGCCGCTTTGAGACTCCTGAAGGGGAGTGAAAGGCGGGATATCAAATCCAAACTGGACACAGTACTCCAGGTGAAGTCTGACCACAGCAGAATACAGTGGCACTATTACTTCCCTTGATCTAGATGCTATACTCCTATTTATGCAGCCCAGAATTGCATTGGCTTTTTTAGCTGCCGCGTCACACTGTTGGCTCATGTCAAGTTTGTGGTCAACCAAGACTCCTAGATCCTTTTCACATGTACTGCTCTCAAGCCTGCTGAGGCAGAGCAGCAGCTGCTGAAAAAGAATGTTTTGGGCTCTGCTCCTATCAAGTCTTCTAGCTGAGCGCTGCATGGAGCTGTCCAGGCTGCCACTGAAGCCTGCCTTTTCCTCTGCACTCATGAGGCTGTGGCTCAAAACATAACACCAGGTGTCTTCCTCTCTGGAGCAAGTAGCTCCCTCATAAGATTCAGAGATTATGTGTATCTAGAGTCAAGTGGCCCATGCCGAGCCCTTGCTGGTCAGGTACAAACTAAACAGAGTAGAACAGCTGTTCCCAGTCCCCTCTTTTCTGAGCAAACTGACATCATCATCATCCTTCATCCAATGATCCCAGGGCAGTTCAACTATGATATGTAATATGTAATGAAGGTGCTAGGAGAGCCTCTTGTGGGAGAGCATCCCACAAATGGGGAGCCACTGCAGAAAAGGCCTGTTGTCGTGTTGCCAAGGTATCATGGCATGGACACACTGAAAACCAACCCCACACCATTAGGGTTTTTGTGATAAAGTGCAAGACTATTATGGTATGCAGCAGCCCTCCTGATGAGATGGTGTCTGCAAAAGGCCATCAACTGGGTATATAAAGAATGACACAATCTTTCAGGTGTCTTGGTCTTGAGCTGTTTAGGGCTTTATACCCCAAAGCCAGCACATTGGACATAGTCAATGCAGTTCTTTCAACAGCAGGGTAATGTGTTGGCGATACCCTGCCCCAATGAGCAGCCACATTTTGCACCATCTGCAGTTTCTGGATGGACCTCAGGCAAGTCCCACAGAGTGCACTCCTGTAATCCAGCCTGGAGCTTAAATCTCATGGACAACAGTAGACAGGCAACTTCTGGGGAGGAAATGGCAGACTGGACATTGACTGCTGGTGCTCTTGCCAGCAGAAATAATTATGCAGTGGCGAGAGGTTATCAAGACATATTGATTGCCATTTAATTGTGATTTAAAAGAGGACAAAGGGTAAAGCCTCACATGCTCAGAAGGCATTCATCATCACACCAGGGGAACAAACCTGTGGGGTTGGGGAACTGTCTAGAGCTAGGAAAAATCTTCAGCCTGCACACTGCATAATTGCATAATTGGGTGATAAAAGAACATTACATAACAGCCTGGAAGATGTATCAAAAAGCTTAAATTGATTGATTACCTTGAAAAATGTTTAATAGCTCTGAGGTTGCTTATAACCTTTATGTTGTTTGCAATTCTCCATCTCTGTTTGTGCTGAGTTGACTGAAAGCGAAAGCTGAATTTTATCTATGTCATACGTTCTGGAAAGTGGAGAGAGACAGTCAATCATGGCAATATGGAATGCTTAACTGATTCTTGATCTTTTACAATGACCGTTCAAAGAACAGCTAGCAGAGCTAAGAGATGAATTGTGTGGAATGTCCAGGCAGAATGGACTACATATAAAGCAGATGAAAAAATGTAGAGAAACTGCAGAAGAAGACTTGGAATTTTACCTAAACACAAAGAAACATCAGGTGGCAAATGGGAGACAGCTTTACAGTGGTCTAAAGGTGTGAAAGCAAGCAAAGGAAGCTGATGTAACATCAGAAGAGATAAATGAAATTATGACCAAATTATGATGACTACAGAGGGTAGAAGGTGAAATGAATATCCAAGCAGAAAAGGCCTCTCATCTCCTGGGGAAAAGGAGGGAAAATAACTTTTTTCTTAACTGGAACAAATCATAACTGACTGGAAACAAGGATGAAATATGATTTAATGAAGATGTAACAGGCAAATAAGTACTGACTATTGTATTATTAAGATATGTTGGAATTCTAGAGGAGAAACCCATCACAACGAAACAGGGAAAGACCATTTTGACACCTGAAGATGATAATAATTGAAGAGCTCTTTTGGACTTTTTGCATGGAAAAGGGTGAATTTGAGATGCCTAGAAGGGAACGCTGAGAAAAGGCCATCTAGAAGAATGAGAAAAAGCTGGACAGCAATACAGCTGGAAATTATCCTAGAGTGCATACTCTAAATATTTTGAATAATTGTTACATACATAATTGGCAGACAGAGAATCGAAAGACTCTCTTCCCCCCCTCCTTTTATCTTGCTTTTTCTCTGATTTTAAACCCTTGATAGCTCTCTCTTCATTCTATTTACATCTATGTTTTGCTCTTTGAAGATTGATATTTGGGTTAAATGAAGCTGCATACAGAGAGGATATGGATCGAAGAGGAAGGGACCTGCCTGAGAGGCGGGTCGGAGAGGTTTCTTCAGGTGTGGGGCTGACAGAAGAGGGGGAAGCTCCCAGGTGAGAGATGGGACGATTCACTCTTCTGTATGTGGAATAAGGCTCAACATATCATTGTGATAGAGGGCTTGGTATTCGATATACATATAGGGTTTCTCCCTCTTATTCATAGTCTTATTTTTCTCTTCTCCCTGTTTTGTTTTTATTCTTCTTCTTTAGTTTGGTTTGTTTTTATTGTATCTTTTGTTGAAAACTCTCAATAAAGTTTAGTATAAAAAAGCAACAGTGGTCAGGCAATGCTAGGCCAGATATGGCTATACTGTAGTTCTTACCAGCCAAAACTGCTATGAGGCGTTTCGTACAGCCAATGTGGTCACCTGAACCTTGTTTGTTTGTTTGTTTAATTATATTATATATTAAATTTGTATACCGCCCTGTATCCATAGAGCAGTTCACGACATAAGATTACAGTACAGTGGTGCCTTGCAAGATGAAATTAATTCGTTCCGCGAGTTTTGTCGTCTTGCGATTTTTTTTGTCTTGCGAAGCACGGTGTCGGGAAAGTTTTGGAAAAGCTTCAAAAATCACCAAAGTCTTCAAAAACCTCAAAAAAGGCTACCACACCGCGTGCTATGAGTTGCTCCTCGAAGTCAAGTCGCAACTGTATTAACGGTGTTAAGAAAAAGGAAACAAACTTGCAAGACGTTTCCGTCTTGCGAAGCAAGCCCATAGGGAAAATCGTCTTGCGAAGCAGCTCAAAAACCCAAAAACCCTTTCGTCTTGCAAGTTTTCCGTCTTGCGAGGCATTCGTCTTGCGAGGTACCACTGTACACAAAACACATAAGAACAATAAGAACAAAAACAAACCAATAATCCCCGTTCTAGCACCCCAACTACAAAGCTGCTCTTTCGGGGAGAGTAAAACCCCGTCCAAAGAAAGCAACTGACAAATTGCCCAGATTCAGACCCCCCCCCAATGCCTTGCCAGGATTCAGGGTCAGTCCACCCCACGGCTCTATTTCAGGGTGAGGGGATTATAACTAAGCAGAATCATAGAGTGAGATTCTTATATGTATAGTTTGATTGTGTGGGAAAGAGTACACAAACTATTCCATTCATATCTTGCAAAATGGCTCTACAAATGGCAGCACTCATGTTAAGTTCTGGGAAAGGAACAATTTCTCCATTATTTTTCTCTGCTCCAAAAGGTTCGCTGTGACTATGCAAGATGATGCAGCTTCATGGAGATGTGCTGGGCGCCCCTGCGTCCTTGCAGCTAAAAATAGCAAAAGCCAGCCTGCCTTAGTTTCTATAGAGACAACCCGCTGTCACGCTCAGAGTTGGGTTAGCCCATCAGTCAGAGCATCTCATGCGGCCACCACAATGAAGGGCCGTTGCCCAGACCGTTTGCAGGGTGGAAGCCGGCTGCAGCTCAAAGGCTCGCTGAGCCCTTCGTTAATGAGGGCTTGGGACTAATTCCCTAATAAAATGAACACTGTTGCTATTGTTCGTCACAACAGGAGAGCCTGTTAATTGTGTGTGTGCGGACGGGGGAAGGGACACTGCCAGAGAAATCTGGAAAGATGAAAAAGGTTAAAATTACCATACTGTTTTGCTGTGTGCTTCAGTGGCAGATGGGCAGAAGTTGCACATCTTGCGGCTGCCTTGGTGCAGGTGCTTCTGCTGCTGAGGAATCGCAGAGGCCGGCAGAAAGACAAGCGGAGCTGATGCTGTGGGAGGAGGAGGAGAGGCTAAACAGAAGGAAGGATGAACAAGGAATTTGCAGGAAAATAAGCAAATGTGCAGCAGCCGCCACTGAGCACTCGGTAGCCACTGCAGTGAATCATTGATAGATAGATTTCATAAAATTTATATACCACTTGGTGGTAGAAAAAACTCTCAATGCAGCTTACAAAAAAGACAAAACAATTTTAAAAATCCACTAAAAATTTCCAACCGTAATTTAAAACATACAGGAATTTAAAACCACAATAGAATAGATTAACATTAAAACTCATACGAACTTTCTAGACTTGTCTAAATATAACATGGCATATTAAAGAACTATCATTGATATGGATGCATACACAGAGCACCAAACACTGGCCAAATCTAAACACATCCTACCATTGTTTTTGAAAGTTGATGAGCTTTGGGTGTGAGCAGGATTTTCAGAAGGAAGCACCAACTCAGTGAGTTGACCAAGGTGAATGTCTTTCCATTTGGCCTGATGGTTTGAATGTTCTCTCCATTAGCTCGTAGTAACTGTCCGCACAGATGTGGAGGTGTATGTCCATAGATGTTTCAAAAGTGACCTTTCAAGCACTGCCCACTTTCTATAGGACTAAAGACCCTTCCACTCCTATTGCCCTTTGCAGGGGCATGTGGCATGGAAAGGCATACAGGGGCGAGATATGGCTTTCTGTTTTATACAGTGTGGCATCAGTGTTTGTGAGAAGTCCCAGTACAGTGATGCTTCACAAACAAAAGACGGTTTGTTGTGGTCCCTCTTCAGGGCCAAGCAAAACAAGTGTGGAAATAAAGCAGGCTAAGATCTATAGTATGGGGCCACACCATGGTCCCCACAGCTACACAGCGGCCTGCTGTGGTCTTCCCTGATGCACACGGGGTCTGCTTCCCCTGCTCAAATCAGTTAGCAAGTATATTACTATACATAGAGAGAGAGAGAGAGGTTTGCTGGAGAAATTACTTTAGAGAGCAGGCATACACCAGAGAGGATGTATGTACAATGATCAATACTAAAAGTAGAATGTGTGCGCCTGAATTGTGATCTACCACAGTTGCATTTAATATCTCGCTTCCATTAGGGTGCTACTTGACCTTCAGTCCCATGGTGAAGGAAAACACTATCCGCCCCACCCTCTCCAAACACACATTCGGCGCTGTCCTGATTCAGGCTTCTTTGTCTTGCCACTGAGGTCATGGGGTCCTTCATTAGGCAAACACGCTATCCTTTCAAACCAGAATTTGGTTCTTCTCTTAGTCTTTCTCCTGAATAAAAAGCAGCAGCAATATTGCTGCTGGCGTGAAACCAATTTGACAGAGCCCAACCCGTTTGCTTTCTATCTCTCTTGGTATAATTTTCAGGAGGAACTTAAAAACATTATTGTTTGCCCAGACATTTGATGGCTGAAAAATACTGTTTCTCACAACTTTGTAGAGGGTGTGTTCCTAGTGTTGGGTAAACCAGGACAAATGAGGGATGCTGCTGGCTTACCACCCATCTCGCTGCCCTGCAGTCTCCTTGCTTGAGCTGACAGAGCTGGTCTCAGAGGCGGCGTTGAGGACAGCCAAACTGTGGTTGGTCCCAAGGGTCATGCTGAGGCGGTCGGCTCTGGGGTGACTCAGGCCCCGGGGTTGTCACAACATATCAAACGCATGTGGCAGGCCACACAATGGACCTTGTTTTCTCAACTGGGCAGGAAGAGGGTGATCTGAAAGTGGGGGGTACCGACAACAGTCCTTTGTCACGGTCAGATCACTTCCCGTTGTGGTCGAGGTTCTTAGCACATTTCCCTCTCTACAGAATGGTTGGCCCTCAGAGGTTAGCGGAGCAATTGCCAGCCAGTTGCCAATCTCTTTCCCTTGGTCAAGGTTCTCAAGTGGGTGGTCCTGGACCAGCTCCAGTGTGAGTGACTGGCAGGGTGGTGGGGGGAGGCAGGAGGCCAGGAGAGTGACTAGCAATTTATGGGGTTTGACGCTGTCCACCGGGGGAGCAGGGAGGGTCAGGGCAGTCCAAGATGGAGGAATGCATGCCAGGTGGCGGAAGAAGAGGCTGTGGTTGTTTATTAAATTTGTATGTCACCCATTAGATCTCAGGGCCGTTCATCCCACAGATGGGTCTGTGGACTCCCCACTCCCCGCCCTACTGTCTCCTAGAACTAGCAGGAGCTTTGTTCTATTGTTTTATCACTTTGGTGCTTGCTGCCCTAGGCTCCTTTGGGACAAAGGGCAGGATGGAAATTTAATAAATCCACAAATCAATAGGAGGGCAGCAATCTGCAAGCTCCCCTGGCTCACTCAGCTAGTTCCCCCTTAGAGCAGGTTGTGTTTTCCAACCTTTATGTTAGCTGAGGTTTGATGTTGGAAGGAGAAATAGAAATGAAGCTTAACGTGCACAATAGCCCACATTTTGTGCTCTGCGTTGGTTTCTTGGCAGCTGTTGTGGCCGTTAGCGAGCAGCAGATTCTGCCTTAGCAGGAGAACTGCCTGGGCAGGAGGGTTGGGAGACAAACTGTGGCCGTGATGGCAGAAAGTGGCCTCATCAAACTCCACAAGTCCTAGACACATGGCTCCATGTTGGCAAATGATAAAAGCCCTGTGCTAATACATTTTGTAGCTTTCAAAACACAGAAGCCTGATTTGTCTTTACAGCGGGGCATGGCCTCATGCTATGTATGTTTGTGAGATAAATATTTGCTCACACAAAGTTGGTGCGCTGTTATTCTGTAACGCAGGCTCCTGCTGCCTCTGGGATCAATGCGCCCTGATTATGATGGTGCCTTGTCCTTTACAGCACCTGCCTCCTGCAGGAACTTCAAGACAGGAACTTCTTGAGAGAGAATGGCACGGGAGTTTAGGGCTTCCCTCTCTCAAAAACTGCAAGTCCTACTGTAGTTTTACTGTGCAAGCACATTCTCTGCTCCAAGGAAGGAGCTGGGCCAGCAACTGGCTGCTCAGAATGTGCTTGTTCTGCTCAAACACTGGTCTTGATCAGCTCAAGCAATTTGCACGAGATCTGGACAATAGGTACCTATGGAACAAGTTCCCACAAAAATCTTCAGTGGCAATTTTGCCTCATTTTGTTCCTTAGGGTGAAGGGATTGCAGCCTGAGCAGGGATCACCTGGCTCTCTGCGGCCTGGCAAAGTCTGCCCTTCCCTCCACCCCAAATCTCAAGCAGCTTATAGCTTCTTTTTCTTCACTGGCATCACATATGGTTTCCAAAAATCTTAGAAACTTAGCTAATAAAATAAGGAAAGACAAATGAAGGACAAATTTGAAGGAAACATGACGAAGGCAATAGTCCAGGCTTACTCTTCCTTTCAACTGCATTCTACCTTGCCAGTGGAAATGATAGTCTGGGGTGCCCACTTGCATTCAAATTTCCTCTCCACCTGCGGTTTAGCATCTTGGCAAGGCAACATTCCTAGAGATGCTGTTCAGACAGTGCAAAGAAGACTGCAGGATGCTTGTCTTGATTGAGACAGTGACATTTTCCAGGACAACGAACGGGACACCACATGGAGATGACGCACAGACAGTGCAGCTATTCCCAGCAGGTGCAGACACATCTATGCAGATGTAATGCATTGCATCTGATTCCTGCATTTTCAATAAATCAAATTGTTTTAATTACTATTGCTTCAAAGCTTGGCCTGCCTTTTTAGTTTAAATACATCTGTTTTCTGTAGCCTGGTTCTGAAGCTACCGCTGCCTGAAAACCTGCCATGACAGATCATTCAGAAGCAGCAGTCTGGCAAGCCAAGACGCAGCAGCGCTCACAGTCATTCTTGCCTGTCCTTGGAAGGGCATTGGCAAGGAGAAGGACGGACAGGGAGCAGCAGGGAGAAGGAATACGCTTCATACAGAACAGCGTCTAGCCTAAAGTGCCCTTCTGGAGTCTACCCTTCATTGCTGCGCTGCAAGAAAACGCAACGTGTGTGCACTGAGCTTTATTTCAAATGAAGTTGAAAAGTAGTCATTTCTGTTATATAAAGACATAGTACAGAGATTAATCTAACACTACAAAAGCTTTCATTTCCTTCTGTGAAAGGTAGAGGGAAGAATCCTGCTTCTCAGGGGCACTGGGCTGTATGGGGTGTTAGAGGAGGGGTAGTACCTCTGGTGAGGGATACATTGTGCTCCTTCTGGGGTAGTTTGACCACCTTTGGTCCCCACCCTGCACTCAGCTCTCACCTGCGACTCCTAGAAGCTGTCCATATGCGACAGGAAACAGCTTAGACTGGCTGGCTAAACTAGGTGAGCGTCTCACACCCTTGATAGGTCTCACACCCTTGATAAGATAGGGACATCCCCAGCATGTGAAGACAGGCTCCAGTGGATTGAGCGGAGGAGACCAAGAGTGGATCCAATGGTCAAGAAGGCAGTTTCTGCACATGCTATAGAGGGAGGTGAGAGCAGATGGGACTCATCCACTTGGGAAGGTAGCCCATCTAGGAGAAGGGAAACTCTGATCCTAACCCTCTGCTGCCATGTGGGATATCTTCAGGAGGCTAATGAGTAAACCCTACAAAAATCTGGAGTGGAGTCCCCAAGTCTGTTGGGTGGCGCCTTGTATCCCTCCTTCCCACAACTCCTGCAGCCAAGCTGGTGCCAAACATGTTATTCTGCTTTCCTTTGGACCACATCAGTGAGGCTGGGGGGGGGGAAGGTTCTTGTTGTGGGCAGCCCAGGACCTCTAGACACACGGCCCAAGCTTGTGCCCCAGGAGGTCACTTCAGTGCTGCTGACACAGCAGTTTTGACTTCATCCACAGAGACACACTCCTTTCTTTCTTGAGACAGACAGATGCCAACAACAACACCAACAATACCCCAGCACTTCTACTTGCTTGGAAAAGTGGGGTGAAGTATTGCATTACTCTGCATGTGTGTTTCTCCACTGTTTATATTTGTGATCATGTCATGAATCTGACACTTGTTGATGAAAGGCACATGACAAACCTGAAGCAGACATTTCTTGAGAGA